ACATCCCTGAAGAAAGCTGGTCTCTCTCCCCCAGCAGCCATCAATGGCCAATAGCTCCTCAGCCAGGGTGGGATTGTTTTATTTTTGAGACAGGGCTTCACTGTGTAGCCCAGGCCATCCTATGTTGTCCAGGCTAGCCTTAAATTCCCAAATGTCCTCCTGACCAGCCTCCTAAATACAATCACACCTGAACAGGATCAGACTGAAAGAAAAATCAATTGCTAATCCTAGCCTTACTATATACTACTTTATGGACCTATTATCAATTTAAAATATTGCTTAAAGGTATAAAATATGTCCAAGTTCCTGTGGTTCATTTCGCTGATAACATGGTTTCTACTCAACATGTTCCCATGGACTAAATATTCCCATTGCTCAATAATTCTTATCATCTTTGGTCAAGGATGTGAGCACAGAAATCTAAACAGGTAGACTTAAAGATATGTCATTTCTTTTTCTTTTTTAATTAATTTTTTTTGAGACAAGGTTTCTCTAAGTATCCCTGGCTATCCTGAAACTCACTCTGTAGACCAGGCTTACCTCAAACTTGGAGATCTGCCTGCCTCTGCCTCCCAAGTGCAGGGATTAAAGGTGCGTGCCACCACTGCCCAGTGGCAATATGTTGTTTCTTTATTGCATCTTCCTCAATCACTCCACACCTTTTTTTTAAAATGTTTATATCTGTGGGTGTTTTGCCTGTCTGTATATATATGCACCATTGAATGCCTGGGACCATCGAGGTCAGAAGAGAACACTGGATCCTTGGAACTGGAGTTCCACGCTGGTGCTGGAAATCAAACCCAGTTCCTCTGGAAGAGCAGCCAGCACTCTTAACAGATAAGCCACTCTCAGCCCCCTCGCCTGTTTGTTTGTTTGTTTTAGGGCAGGTTTCTCACTGTACTGGAGCTCCCTGCATTTGCTAGACTGGCTGGCCAGAAAGCCAACCCCTACTGTCCCCATATCTCCCTCCCTGTCCCCAGTCCCAGTCCCCACACTAAGATTACAGACATAGACTGCTGCAGCTGACTCCTCCAGAGTCCTGGGGACCTGAATTCAGCTCATACTTGCACAACCATCACTTCCCCATCCCCTGATACTAGGCTGGAACTTTTGAATCAACCAGACAAAATGTTGCCTCCTGCCTAAAAAGCAACCTTTCTCCGGCAGGGTCTGAATGAAAACTGTCATCAAGAACACCCAAGCCTCCAAGTCCTTAGTTTCTTGTATACAAGATGGAAGTAAGGGACTGGAAACGTAGTTCAGGAATAGAGTCCTACCTGGCTCGCACTAGCCATGGGGCACCATCCTTCTGAGATGGGGCAGGATTGGGACGGTATATTATAAAAGAACCCCAGAGGTTAAGGCAGAAGGATTGTCATGTGTTTGAGGCTAGGCCAGGCCACATAGTCAGTTCCAGAGCTATAGTGTAGAGACTCGGTCTCAAAAGGAAGTAAGAATTATTTAGTTGTTTATTTACTATTTAATTAATTTTTAAACATTTTAATTAATTAATTAAAAGACTATCGTGTTTGGACCCAGAAGGTCTATTGTTCCCCTGATTCAGTTTTAAACAGGATCATACAATATATCAAATCAGGAAGCTGAGATACAATCTCCAGCCATCAGCCCAACTGTTCCTGGACAATCAGCAGATAAACCATTACGTTTTGGGCCTTGATTTCCTGGAGGCCCAATATGATTTCTAAGCATAAACTTTACAAAATTAATCATAAAAAAATAACATGAAGCTATTCTCACATACTTACGGTGTATGCAAAAGCATAGAGCTCTCCACGCTACCTGGAAAATTCTCCTTTAGAGATATTATTTTTATGTAGCTTAGACTTGTTATGTATGAAAACATGTGATTTATAAAGACAGCTTTTCCTAATAAATCATTCTGGAAAACAAAGGAAATTTCCACTCAACCAAAGATCACCATACCCAATTGAACATCGGGGTCCTCTGTCTCACAAATATTCGTGTGTGTGTGTGTGTGTGTGTGTGTGTGTGTGTGTGCATATGTTCTCTGAATACTAAACCCAAGGCCTCATAAAAATTAAGCAAACACTTTTTTAAAATGTCCTTTTTAAAATCTTATTTATTTATTTTGTTGATCTTATTGAGCTCTACATTTTTATCTGCTTCCCTCCCTTCCTTTCCCCTCCCCTCCTACCCTCTCCCGTGGTCCCCATGCTTCCAATTTACACAGGAAATCTTGTCTTTTTCTACTTCCCATGTAGATTAGATCCATGTATCTCTCTTTTAGGGTCCTCATTGGTGTCTAGGTTCTCTGAGATTGTGAGTTGTGGGTTGGTTTTCTTAGATTTATGTATAAAAGTCACTTATGAGTAAGTACATATTATATTTGTCTTTCTGGGTCTGGGCTACCTCATTCAAAACAATGTTTTCTAGGTCCATCCATTTGCCTGCAAATTTCAAGATGTCATTATTTTTTCCACTATGTAGTACTCCATTGTGTAAATGTACCACATTTCCTTTATTCATTCTTTGGTCAAGAGGCATTGAGGTTGTTTCCAGGTTCTGATTATGAAAAAACAATGCTACTACGAACATAGTTGAGCACATGTCCTTGTGGTACAATTGAGCATCCTTTGGGTATATACCCAAAAGTGGTATTGCTGGGTCTTGAGGAAGGTTGTTTCCTAATTTTCTGAGAAACTGCCATACTGGTATCTAAAGAGGCTGTACTAGCTTGCACTTCCACCAGAAATGCAGGAGTGTTCGCTTTACCCCACATCCTCTCCAGCATCAGTTTTCATCAGTGTTTTTGATCTTGGCCATTCTTACAGGTGTAAGATGGAATAAATGTCCTTTTTAATAATTAATTTTTATGTTCACTGGTGTTTTGCCTGTATGCATGTCTGTGTGAGGGAGTCAGAAGCCCTGGAACTGGAGTTACAAACAGGTGTTAGTGACCTGTAGATGCTGGGAATTGAACCCGGGTCCTCTAGGAGAGCAGTCAGGGCTCTTAACTGCTGAGCCATCTCTCCAGCCCCTTAGTTAAACATTTTGAAACTGAACTGCTCCATGGTCCTTTACTACTTACTTGATGGACATGGAGTCTCTGAAGGCCTTTGAGTAGCAAAGGCTTCTATGTTTCCCCTTCGCTGCTCCTTTCCAGAATGGAACTGGTTGTCAACCTCCACGGCCAATATTCTAAACCTTTTGAAAACCCTACCTGAATAAGATCTTGAGCAAGGGGCCTAGTATTTGTTGCAAGGCCAATGTAATGCCATTAACATTTGACTCTACTCAGTCAGGATTTGCTGGTTGGTTTTTCAAGACAGGGGATACCTGTATAGTCTAGGTTGGCCTCAAATTCTTCATCTGCCTCCCTCAACCCTTCAAGTGCTGGGATTATAGGCATGTACCAGGCTTTGTTGTTGAGACCGGTTCCCCATGTAGCTGGCCCGGAACCGCTAGTAGTCTAGAATGGCCTTAAACTCCAGAAAGTCCTGCTTTGACCTTCTGAGGCTTGGCTTGGTGTGTACTGCCACGCCCAGCTCCACTCAGGAATTTTTAATATAGCTTCAGTCACTACATTGGCATTCTTCCTGCCAATAATAAAAGTTATTAAAGCGGGAGTCATTTCCAAGTGGAGGCAAAAAAAAAAAATCATACACGAAAGTATTCCATGAAGCACAAAAGACTTCACAAGCCATACAGCTAAGTGGGTGTTGGCGCTTATTACGCATCCCTTGGCGTTTTAACCAGGGTAAGGGATGGTGAGCCAAAGAGGGATGGTCAGCTGTCTTCCCCCGGGCCGCTCTTCCACTTCATCCTTTCCAGCCACCGTCCAACGGCCTTTCTCTGACTACCGAGAAGGCAACATGGCTTCTCTTTGTCTGCGTCGCCCCCACTTCACAATAACCTGGGCCGCCGCTCAGCTTTGTTCACGGAAGCGGCATCTTCAAGGAACCAGAACACGTGAGACCTCAGAAGCAGTTTACAAAGGAACTGTGACTCGCAGTTAGAGCATTGCTGAGCTGGCGGCCTGTGGCCCTGCCCCGCTGGCAGCAGGCTGTCAGGGAGGCACTGCCCCCTTGTGTCTCAGTCCATGAAGCTCTGTCTCGAGACAAAAAAAAAAAAAAAAAAAAAAAGTGGGGGTGGGAAGAATATTCCTATTCCAGAAAGAACATCCAAAGACCCAAGTTGAGAATAGAGGCAGTCCGTACATAAGACCAACTTTACTAGAGTACTGTGTCTTCCTAGCCACTCTCTGTGGCTGAATTCAACATGGGCTGAATTCTAACACCATCTGTCTGTGTGTTTCCTTCCTCGACTCCTTTAAAGACACTTAAGTTAGCATAGAAAGTATTAGCTAGAGATCATTATGGTACTTTCGAATAAAGTTTTAGTAGATTCTTAACCAGGAGGTGATGGTGGCCCACGCCTTTAATCCCAGCATTCGGGAGGCAGAGGTGGGTGAATCACTGTGAGTTCAAGGCCAGCCTCGTCTACAGAGTGAGTTCCAGGACAGTCAAGGCTACTCAGAGAGACCCCGTCTAAAACAATTAAAAAAAAAAAAGTTTTTGTAAATTCTCCTTTCCCTTCACCATTGCCCCCCAATACCCCTAATCTCCCCTAAACCGCCTCCTGGCCTCTTTCCTCCTTCCTGTCTTCCATATACTTTTTGCCCTGATCCCATCTTTCCTCAACATTTATTTTTACCTTCTCTTGGTTTTCCTATTAGTTTTTTTAAGTTGTACCCACATTTTGAACCCCTTGATATTGATAGATTTAGAAATGGCTTGAGTCCCCTAGCGGCATCCAATCATTCCTCTAGGAGACCCTCACCATGAAAACCCTGCAGCAAACTAACGTGCGGTATTTTCTCCTGTTAGTCTGTCTGTGTCCATTTCATCCTTGGGCTCGGTGAGAAAACCCTGAAGCCAGGAGAAACAAAATTCCCCTCGGGTGGAAGAATCATTTTCAAGAGAAAACAGGAGGCGTTGAATGCTCATTTTATTCCGCGTAAGTGAGGCAGTGCAAAAGTCACCAGGGCTGTAAATGTAAACTGCTCGTCCATACACTGCCCATCAGCAAGGCGAATCTTTGATGATATTAATAGGGTTCCCATCCTCCCTGCAAAATGAACAATCATACACGCTGTATCAGTGCCTAGCACGCTGAAACCAGGTCAACTGTTTTGCAGTTTGCGGCCCTATGTCCATTACGCGTCAAATTCCTCTCAGGGTAACATTTACTTAGTCATTTTTTAAGGTTCATCCAGAAAATACAAAGGTGAACATCTTTTTGCCCCCCCCACCCTCCACCCACCCAAACCTAAGGTAAAGGGCTCTGATGCCTACAAAACATTTCAAGAAGACTTGGACTGAGAAGCGAGAGTGGACTCCCCATGAAGGGAGTCAGGTACCATAGCTTAATCCTCAGCATTTCCCCAAGAAGATGTAGGAAGCCTTACCTGCCAACTGGTAAACAGAGGGTGTGGAGATCACCTGCATACCCCTCTAAATCTAAAAGTAAATATAATATTCTGCAGGATTTAAGTACTAACTATAGCCGTGTGTGTGTGTGTGTGTGTGTGTGTGTGTGTGTGTGTGTGTGCGCGCATGTGTGTATACTGTCAGTATACTGACAATTGAACTACTTACTTACTGGCTTTATGTATCCTAGGCAAATTCTCTACCGAGCTACATCCCAGTCTCCAAACATGCAATGTGTCCTTCCACCGGTTATAAAGATTGATCCCAGTGAACTGGAGAGACGGCTCAGAGATTAAGAGTACTGGCTGTTCTTCCAGAGGTCCTGAGTAAAATTCCCAGCTACATGGTGGTTCACAACCATTTATAAGGAGATCTGGTGCCCTCTTCTGGCATGAAGACATATGTATAGGCAGAACATTGCATATATGTAATAAATAAATAAATCTTTAAAAAAATAAATCTTAAAAAAAAAAAAGAATAGTTAAAGATTGATCTCAGGTAGCCGGGTCGTGGTGGCGCATGCCTATAATCCTAGCATTCGGGAGGCAGAGGGAGGCAGATCTCTGTGAGCTCGAGGCCAACCTGGTAAATCTTAGGAAGATTTTCTACTGAGCAACTCTGTCTCCACTATACTTTTAAATTGGTTGTGAGCTGCCACATGGGTGCTGGGAATTAAACCCGGGTCCTCTGGAAGACCAGTTAGTGCTCTTAACTGCTGAGCCATCTCTTCAGCCCCCACACTCTTAATTTGGAGTGAGTGCACATTGAGATGGTGACATAGCCTGGCTGCTACCTTACACATGACTGATCACAAACTCTGTCTCTAGCTTTGACCGAAAAATGCACTTAAAAGTTTATGTCTTTTAAATGTTTCCATAAAAACCAAAAACAGCAGGGCGGTGGTGGCACATGCCTTTAATCCCAGCACTCGGGAGACAGAGGCAGGTGCTTCTCTGTGAGTTCGAGGCCAGCCTCATCTACAAAAGCTTGTTCCAGGACAGGCTTCAAAAGCTCCAAAAACAGTTTAAGTCACATTTGACTCCTACATTCCAGAAAGGAGTTACTACCTCCAACAATCAAAATTCAAGAAAAAAAGAAAAGAAAAGAAAGGAAAAGGAAACGTGACTGGTGTACAACTGTAAGACTGTGTGGCCCGGGCCTGGAGGTTAAGTGCATTTGTTGCTCTTACAGAAAACCCCAAGTCTGAGTCCAGCCATCCCCATTTGTGACTCCTGTTCCAAGGGGTCCAGCTCCTTCTTCTGACCTCTGTGGGCACAGACATACATGTTGTACCTGTGTATACACATGCAGACAAAACACTCATACACATGAAGTAGTAATAGATCTAAAAAAGGTGTTTTAATACTGGACCTGATCTTCATGCACAAGATGCATTCATTCCCATAAGTGTTCAAGTCGCTTCCACACACGGGGCTGAGGATCCTGGGACATGCTGGGTAGTCATAACGATCACATTCCGGCTACAAAAGAAAAAAATCGAGGAGTGACTTGAGACACACCCATTACAAAATATCTAAGAGGGGACAACATCCCAATTTTCCCTAAATTTCATTAAAAATATACTAAATAAATACTTAGGTTTGCCCCTGCCCCCCTTGTAATGTAAAAATCAGATGCAAAGGAATACAATTACAAAAATAAGAAAGAAAAAAAAAAGACACCAGAGTCAAGTGTGGTTCAAACCTGTAACTCCAGTACTTTAGAAGCTGAGTCAAGAGGATGGCCTCCAGTTTGAGGCCAGTCTGGGATACATAGTAAGTTCTAGGCTAGCCTGGGGAACACAAGTAGACCTTGTCTAAAAACAAAAACAAAAAAACAAAACAAACAAACAAAAAAAAAGACAGAGCCCAGCATAGGACCAGTTGAACTAATCTCAGCACTTAGAAGGCAGAAGCGGAAGATTAGGTGTTCATCGTCACACTCCAGTTGAGCCAGCCTGGCTACTTAAGACCTCACCTCAATAGTCTGAAACACAGTGAGAATCTGGACATTATTTAGTAAGCCTCATGTTGAAACCCCACCCCAACCCCGCCATTACCTAATTCAGTGGTAGTTTGGAATGGGGAGGTGGTATTTATTTTGAGACAAGAATTTTTTTTTTTTTTTTGGTTTTTCGAGACAGGGTTTCTCTGTAGCTTTGGTGCCCATCCCAGAACTAGCTCTAGTAGACCAGGCTGGCCTCGAACTCCCAGAGAGGAGGAACTCCTCTGCCTCCCTTGACACAAGATTTTACTATTGACCTGGAACTTGCTATATAACCCAGGCTGAGCCGGGCGGTGGTGGCGCACGCCTTTAATCCCAGCACTCGGAAGGCAGAGGCAGGCGGATCTCTGTGAGTTCAAGGCCAGCCTGGTCTACAAAGGGAGTTCCAGGACGGGCTCCAAATCTACAGAGAAACCCTGTCTCGAAAAACCAAAAAATAAAAATAAAATAAAATAACCCAGGTTGGCCTCAAAGATTTACTTGCCTCTGCCCTCCTAAGTGCTGGAATTAAATATATAATACCTAGAAACTCCAGGGGTTTGTTGTTCTTGTTCTTGTTTGGTTTCTGGTTTTTCGACACAGGGTTTCTCTGTGTAGCTTTGGAGCCTGTCCTGAAACTTGCTCTGTAGACCAGGTTGGCCTCAAACTCATAGAGATCCACCTGACTCTGCCTCCCGAGTGCTGGAATGAAAGGCATGTGCAGTCACCGCCTGGCTCCAGGTATTTTTGGTTTTTGTTTTGTTTTGTTTTTTGGAGGGGTGGATTTTTCTAGACAGGGTTTCTCTGTAGCTTTGGAACCTGCCATGTGCCACCATCACTTGGCCTTTCATTTTGGGTTTTTTTTTTTGGGGGGGGGTGGAGGTTAGCAATGTCTTTTAGCAAGTCTTTCTAAAGTATTTGATATTGCTTCATTCCTCATGTTTCCATGAGATCCTTGAGTGTTACAAAGACCCCAATTCCAGCTGGGGTACACAGTGAAGAGGACTGAACCAGAGCTGAATACACACAGGTCAAGTGTTCAGCCTCTGAGGTATACCCCTGGTCTAAGTCAGGGTTTCTATCACTGTGAAGAGACACCATGACCATGGCAACTCTGAGAAAGGAAAACACTTCCCTGGGGTGGGGTGGCTCACTTAGAGTTCAGAGGTCCAGTCCATCATCCTCATGGGGGAGCATGGCAGCGTGGCACGGTGCTGGAGAACCCTACAGCTTGCAGGCCATAGAAAGTGGTCCGTGTTACTGAGTATGGCTTGAGGACAAAGGAGACCTCAAAGGCCACACTCCTAGGAGTACCACTCCCTTTGGGGGCCCTTTTCCTTCAAATCACCACACCCCTATAGAAAATATACTCTTAATTTAGAAGCAGGACAGCCTGGCATCCACCAGGTCCTGAGTCTGAGTCTCGACAACCTCACCCCCACCTCAAGAGTCTAGAATGCTATGCTAGTGTGTTGCTGCCCAGCTGTGGTCCCAGCACCTTGTCTCCAGCATGGCAAAACAAAGCAAAATCTCTCAACTGACAGGACAGTTGAAGGTTCTATGCCACAAAGGAGACCCGTCTCAGCCAGCCAGCAAGGAATGGCTATACCATGGGGACTGTCCTGAGACCTGCTGGGATCATTTATCTGCAAGCTGATTAGGCAGAGGATAGCTATAAACATTCTCCGTCAGATAGCCCGAGGCATCACTCCTCCCCCTTATCAGACTGCTGCCTCCAAAGCCAGTCCAGGAAGACAAATAATCCTTCTAACAGCCCCAAGTGGCCAGTTCTCAAGTAATGACTGTCAGCTTCCCTAACTTGGGGTCCTCAGTTCCAGATGAGGACCAACCAAGTGTAATCGTGTCTGCACCCTACCTACAGCATCCCTTGCTGTGCCAGGCCACACCCGAAGACTTGTCCCCACGCTGACACCTTCCCATGCCTCTGCCAGTCAGTGAGTCTCTGCCCAAATGACAAGGATGGGGCAGACCCCTTGATACAGCAATTCTTAGTAAACTGTCTCGTTTGAGTTTCGTTTCTGTCCACAGAATTAAATAAAACAAAATAGGTGAAGTATCTGATATAGCGAGTAACTATCATACCTCAGATAATAAATTATTACAGGAAATATTAAAGCAAGCAACTCCTTGGGGCCTTGAACGACTGAGTTATTCTCAACTGAAATGTCCACTTTTAGCTGACATGGTGGCTTATACCTATAATCCTAGTACGCAGGAAACTGAGGCAGGAGGATATTGAGAAAAGAAAAGTATATATTCATTTATCTGTATCGAGGCTGTCGTATGGGGAGCCTCTGTACGGGGAGAAACAGGGCAGGTAGTTCATACTTACTGTTCTGTATTCTGAAGGCTCAATTATGTGAGGGTCGAAAAAGTCGTAAGAGTTGGAGGCGACTGTAAGGAGAAAACACGGACATTGTACATGTGACGGTGGTAAATTGTTCGTAAAATTTACCCTTGCACACTAAAATCCCAGTGTGTAAGGGATGAGGGATGGTACCCTAAGCCAGCCTCTAGCCCCATGTGAGCATTCTCAGCCAAGTGCGCCAGCACACACAGGAAGCTCGCTCACGCGAGTGGGGTACAAACAGTTTGTGGGCTGGGGAGATGACTTGATGGCTGAGGTGCTTGCTGTCAACTGAGTTCTGACCCTCAGCATCCAGGGCTGGCCATGATGGCTTTGGTTTGCACCCTCCAGCATTGGGAGGGGGCTGAGACAGGTGGATACCAAGTATTACTGGCTGGTCATTCTAGCAGAAATGGCAAGCACTGGGTTCATCAAGAGACCCTGTTTCAAGAGTGAGGTGGAGAGCAATACCAGACCACCAACGTTGACCCCTAGGCTCTATATGCCTACAAAATACACGCGCGCACACATACACTCAACACAGAAAGCAAAACTAAAAGATTTGAGCTTTTTGGTTTGGGTTGGGTTTTTTGTGTTTTTTTTTTTTTTTTTTTTTGAGACAGGGCTTCTCTGCATAACAGCTCTGACTGTCCCAGAACTTGTTTTGTAGACCAGGCTGGCCTCCGAACTCAGAGATGTACCTGCCTCTGCCTCCCGAGTGCTGGAATTAAAGGCATGGGCCACCACCTCCCCCTCTTCCCACTCTTCTAAGAAACGCACAGAACATTTGGTTTTGTTTCTATCAAGTTTCTTGAAAACTGATTTTGAAGCTCCAAGCATCAGGGAAGTGACTAACAGTACTAGATAACTTTCGTCTGTGTATTCAAGATTATTTTTTAGATAAACACAAAACTGGAATTAACTTTTGAGACAGGGGCTCCCAAAGCCCAGGCTGATCTTCAACTGTCCACATTGCAGGGGCTGGCCTTGAAAGCGTGATTCTCTTGGCCTCTGCTTCCTAAGTGCTGGGATTACAACATAAGCCAGTATGCCAAGCTCAATAAACACAAAACTTAGTATAAGTATGAGTATTTCAACACTGCTTTCCCATAAACATCAAGTCCGTCCAGAGGAAGGTATCCTGGGCATTCCCGCATCCAGCACACCTCAGGTCACAGACTCAACTGGGCTGTGGATACAAATACAACTGTCTATCTGGAGTCCAGAAAATCTGTTTAAGAGAGAAAGAGAAGCAGGGCAGTGGTGGCGCACGCCTTTAATCCCAGCACTCGGGAGGCAGAGGCAGGAGGATCTCTGTGAGTTCGAGGCCAGCTTGGTCTACAAGAGCTAGTGCCAGGACAGGCTCCAAAGCTACAGAGAAACCTTGTCTCAAAAAAAAAAAAAAAAGGAGAGAGAGAAAGAGCAGATGGCTGGGTGACACCTAGAAAAAGCTGAGATCAAAGTCACAATGGGAACTTCAGAGGGTGCCAGGCCCCCACATTCAGCTTCCATTCCCACGGGGGCCCTACCGGCAGAACTGCCAGTAACGGTAGGCATCCGCTGCTCAAGCCCAGCAGGCCAGCGTTCTCATCTCTGACCTGATCTCCCTTCACCGGTCCTAGACACCAGACCCTATTTGAGCCTCACCTGCAAAGTCCCCTGCCAGGAGCAACAGCACCAGTGGCAGCATCACCAGAGCCATCCTTCCTGCTCTGCTGGAAGGCTCTAGAGTTCATCAACAGAGCAGCGGGTCTATAAGTTACCCGCGGCACCACGCGGGTGCGAAGGGGAGGGGCAAAGGGCGGGCTGGAGACTAGGTAGACCCGAACAAGGAGGAAGAGAGGAGGGACAGGCCGGGCAGGAGAGGGGATGAAGGAGAAGGGGGAGGTTTGGAGAGGCACGAGGGGAAGCACACCACCTACCCACACGCACAAACCTTCCAGATTTCTAAGCAGCAAACCTCTCCGCAAGGTCCACACAAAGCGAACCAGGCCGTGTCCCCCCCCCCCCCCCGACACTTTTCACCAGCCCATATACAACCCCTACGCTTCTCCAGGGGTCCAAACACCCTGCCAGGTCCTCACAGCCCACACACAACATCTCACCTGAACTCTCCAAAAACCCCTCCTCATCCTGCAGCCTCCCTCCGCACCTCCACCCCCAAACATTTGACACACAAGCACATCACACTCTGCACACACACATACGCACAATCTAACCCTTCCGCAAATCTCACATGTCTTCGCCTCCCCTCAAGTGCTCCAACCACCTTATCCCAACCCCACCCTCAACCACACACTCCACAGCAACCTGACCGCTCCTCCAAAGCCACACATGCCTCTACATACAATCATTAATCTTCCGCATAGCCCAAATACAGCTTCACCACCCCTCTACCCATAAAAAACTCACCCATCCACACATCACCACTCTTCCACCTCCCCCCACACAGCTTTCAACACTCCAAATACCTTACATCTCACATACCCCACCCCCTACACACCCAATAACCACACAACCCATCATCCTTCCACCGAATACTTAAATGAGTCCCACCCTGGATGTTCGGGTGGAAGTTCCATCCCAAGCCCCCTCCCCTAGGAGTTGCCTCAGTCCAGACTCCATCCCTCCACCCCCAGAAAGCCCACCAAACAATGACCCCTCCCCAGAGATGCTCAAGACCACTCCCACAGGGTATTTAAATTGTCCCCCAGAGAACAACCACGTGGTTTTCCCATCTTCCTGTCTCCTCTCTGGGGGGCTGGAAAGCCATCTGGGAGTGTTAGTATCCATTAAAACTGGGCTTTTCCTAATTTGCTTTGATTTGTCTGATTTGTGTTATTGCATCGGCCAAGAGATTTAGGGTGCAGAAACTTTTCACTGGCAACCCACAAAATACTTCAGTCCTCTTCCACAACCCACCACTCTTCCACTTCTCCACACCACACACACACACACACACACATGCTCCACCACTTCTCCATAGACCCATACACACCTCTACCACTCCACACACTTCCCACCACTGCTCCAAACTTCCATACAACTCCCTCTAGTTAGCCATTCCTCACCCACATCCCTGCAAATATCCCTGTTAGATAACCCACCACCCCTTCACATACCCCAACAAGCACCTTACCCTTGCACACACTCCTACACCCACCTTTTCACACTCCAAACAACCCCTGCCACCCCTCCAACCCACCCCCCGTGACCTTCATACCCCATACAATCCACCACCCCTTACCATTCCAAACATCCCAACCTTCCACACACCTCTGACCACCCCTCACCCACCTCATACATCCACACACTCCACCCACCCACTATACAATCCCTCATTCCACAACCCATCTAAACACTCCACTACCCCTCCAGCCCACTACATACCCCACACACTCATTACACACCCCACGTCTCCTCCAGCCATCCAAATTCTCCACATCTCTACAATGCCCCGACATCCCAACCTCTCAACTCCTCCACACACTGCATATGCTCCCAACTCGCTCATTTCACATACACACACACACACACACACACACACACACACACCTTTGACACAACCCACATACCTCTACTATCCTTCCAAACAAACCACCCCAAACATACCATACCATACTCCCACGTAACCCCTACATTCTCTCCAATACTACAGTCTCCACATACCCCCTACACACCCTCAACACACACCCCACTACACACCCTACCTACTCACCACGCTTTCAACCCTCTAAATATCTCAGTCTTTCAAACATCCCCCACAAAACCCATCAGACAGCCCATCACCCCTCCACTTCTCCTTCCTCCCATACCCACCACCCTTCAAACCTTCACACTCCATGCACACTCCCACACGCCATTACCTCTCCAGTCTTCCACACCCCAGCACACACACACACAAACCGTCAAAGTACCCCTCTCCAGCCAGTGGTGGCACCCCTCTCTTGGCAGTGGTAGTGCACTCCTTTAATCCCAGCTCTTGGGAGGCAGAAGCAGGTGGGTCTCTGTGAGTTTGAGCCCAGTTTGGACCACAGAGCTAGTTCTAGGACAGCCAGAGTAACACAAAGAAACTCTGTCTAGGCCGCTTGTTTGTTCCCCGCTGCTCAGCCCCAAAATAACCACATAGAACTGTCTTAATTAAATCACTGCTTGGTGTATTAACTCTAGCTTCTTATCAACTAGCTCTTACATATTAATTTAACCCATTTCTATTAATCTGTGTATCGCCATGTGGCTGTGGCTTACCAGCAGTGTTCATCCAGTGTCTGTCTCTGATGGAGCTTCATGGCATCTCCTTAACTCTACCTTCTTTCTCCCAGCATTCAGTTTAGTTTCCCCTGCCTAGCTCTATTCTTCTCTGCTCAGGCCCAAGACAGTTTCTTTATTAACCAATGGTATTCCCAGCATACAGAGGGGAATCCCACATCCCATCTCCACATATCCTTCCTGGACGCAGCACACAATGCACCACCTCTCCACCCTTCCACGTACCCCAAACACAACCCCCAGACCTCTCATGACAATACACCCCACAAACAGACCCCCACTCTTCCACTCTTCTATATCCCACACACATCCCTACCGCTACTCTAAATACTCCATCCCCAACATATCCCACCACACCACTCCATACACTAGCCTTCCACACACATCCCACAACCCTTTCAACGTCCAGACACTCTAGCCCTCCACATACCTTCAGCCCCACACAACTCTCTATCAACCTCTCCATACACCTCGCTCATGCCCATCACCCTTTCAAATACTCCAACACTTTACACACCGCACCATGCCCCCTCTTTCTCTATACACTATGCATGTTCACCACTACACACAAGCACACCACCATGCCCCTGTTCCTCTATACGCCACACATGGCACCTCCGTGCCCCTGTTCCTCTATACACCACGCATGGGAACAACCATGTCCCTCTTCCTCTATACACCACACATGGCACCTCTGTGCCCCTGTTCCTCTATATACCACACATGGGCACCTCCATGTCCCTGTTCTTTTATACACCACGCATAGACACCACTTTGTCCAGTCCCTCAAAGACCCAGACTCTGCACACACCACACGTCCCCCATCTCCCATCACATCTTCAGCCCACAAACCCCACTCTCAACTCCACCCCAAACCCTACAACCACTACACAGTTCACACCCCCGCCAACCAAGACAAATTCCAAGATATCTATTTTGGAGGGCTATGTCAAAACCTTCAAAAAAGCCAGGTGTAGCGGTGATTGCCTTTAACCCCAGTTCTCAGAAGGTGGAGACAGACAGATCTCTGCAAGTTCCAAGGCCAGTCTGATCTCATAGCAAGTTCCAGGCCAATCGAGACTACATAATAAGACCCCTGTCTCAAATAATAATAATTATAATAAAAACCAAACCTCTGAGGCCAGTAGCATGCTCCTGTAATCACCACACTTGGGAGGTGGAGGCAAGAGGATCATGAGAGCTAGGTCACCCTCAGATACGTAGCAAGTTTGAGACCAAACTGAAATACATGACAGCCTGTCTCAGAACACACGACCACGAACAAAAGTTCTGAAGTCTATTCAGTGAAGTAAAACTGAAAGTGCAGCCCTGTAGCTTCCAGAGCTTCACAGGTCACCCCACCCACATCCCATCCCCTGACTGTGTCCCAGTTACACTGCTTTCCTCAGTCCCACCTTAGGGCTTGGCCTCGTGCTGACATCAACTTGGACGGCTGCAGAAGTTTCCTCAACCATCTCTCGGCTCACACGTCTGCAGATTGGGAATGCCTGCTGAAATAACCAGGCTAGCTAAAGGATATAACAATATTTTTATTCATTCTAAGGGGGGAAATTCATGAAACAGGAAATGAGAAATCCAAGCACAGCGCTGTCCCACAGGAATGGCGTAGAAAGAGAGAGAAAGAGCACCTGGGCCGTGCACAGATTTTCCCTCGGGTCCCAGAAAACCACACCTTACCTGGGTCCACCTCTTAAAGATAATTGATCTATTCTATCTGTTCCATGAAGGATATCATCACATCCCTGCCACTTCAGCCCTTAATGGTGCACTATTTGCAGTGCCCCATAATCCAGGATGCTCCAAGTGCTCCTGGATAGTCTTGTATCTAACGTCACATAACTTTTGGAAAAGCTCCTCATAAAAACAACTCTATAAAAGAGAAAACAATCCCTGTGGCTCAAATGGCGGAGTATAGTGACTTACACCAGCAGTGGTTGATCTTGGGGGGGGTAGAAGCAGAGGATGAAGACTTCCAGGTTGTTCTCAGCAATACAGCAAGCTTGAAGTCTCCTTGACCTACATCTGTTTGGAGATCTTGTCTCCAAACAGAGCTACATAGTAAAAACCTGGCTAAGCAAATGGTTTTTCAAGAAAGACATGGTCTCTGGCTGTGTGTGTTATGTGACACGCTCTACCACAGTATGGCATGGTTGTGCAGTTTCCCTAGGCACACCCACTCTGAAATTAACCCAGACTCTGGAACGCACAGCCTCCTGCTTTCTTCCCCCCACACCCACAAATAATTTTATCATTTTATATTAATAAATTATTATAGTATTAAGGCACTAGCTGAAGTCTCTCTTTATCTTCACCTTGATATCAAGTGAGCAATTATTTCTGCTCAAGGAAAGCTTGTCTCCTAATTGTATCTCTTTGGTCACTGTGTTGTCATAGAGCAGG